AACCTCTAAAATAACATCTATTAGCTTTAGTTTATGCATTATCTTTAAAATCTAAAGCTCTATCCTTGAGAAAGTCACCTTCAATAATAGTTCATCTAAAGCTTTCATTTGAAGAAATTCCTAAATCATCGTTTTTACCATAAAAAAGGCAGTCAACATAGAAGATACACACTTTGTAACACACACTACTTAATGCTATCAGTTTATTACATGCACAAGTTTGGAGTTTTCCCCATAACTTCTAATACTACTCTCATACTGAAAATTCAGGTTTATCTTTTTCTTTTTTAGTTTTATAACACTGTGATGTCCATTCTTAGCATTCACCATTTATTGAATATTAAGATTGTGTATGATGTGTTGGCAGGGATGGGGAGGGAGCGAACTCATTGCTTAAAAAAAAAGAGGGGGAGGGTATGGGCCGGCCGAATGGCTTAGTTGGTTAAGAGTGCAAGCTCTGAGCTACAGGGTCCCTGGTGCGATTCCCACATGGGTCAGTGAGCTGTGTGGTAGTGCACTCTTAGCAACAAGGTTTCTGTTTCCAGTACGGCATGGGATAGTCGGCTATGCCCACCCACAACAAAGACTGAACACAGAACCTTGAGCAGAGCAGCCACGAGCTGACGACGGGTGACCGGATGGCGACAAAACTTGGAGTTAAGCTAGCTGCGCCCTCCATATCTAAGACTGATGGACAACAACTTGGCTATTCCCCTTCCCCAATACCCCAACACTGTTCCCCTTTTCCAATTCCCCAATAAAATCTTAAGAAGAAAAAAGCAATGTGATTTTTTTTTTTTAAGATTTTACTGGGGAATCGGGGAAGGGGAACAAACAAGTTGCTGTCTTTTTGTTCTTTAGTCTAGTGTGGAGGACATCGCTTCACTGGCCCATGTTGGTATCATCATTGCACTCTTTCCGGGTGAGGCAGGTCAGTCGCCGGCCTCTGGACGGCCGCTTATGGTGGCTCTTGGCAGCTCACACCAGCTGCCGGCCAGCCCCACTGCAGCCCAGCTCCAGGTCGAGCTGTTGTTCACCATCTTAGCTGTAGAGGACACGGTGTCACTGGCCTTCATGTGGGATCCGAACAGGGGCCCTGCTGCTCAGAGCCGGCGTCCCAAGCCAGCTCTTAACCAACGCGCCACTCAGCCGGCCCAGCAATGTCATTTTAAAACTTGGTTAAGTTTCTACTCTAACAAATGCTACCACTTATCCCTCAAAGGTATCCCTGCCTCTGTGCTCGAATATCTTACATATAAATTAAGTAATTTTTCCCCACATGAAATTTTATTATGACTTTATATCTATTGTAACTTATCCACAGTGCTATAAAGACTTTTAGCTGAGGATATATTTTGTTCCCCCAAATAATACAGATCAAAACAAATTATATATAAAAATCAACAACTGTAATACTTGCTACTGCTGCATTTCACAAAAGCTGTACCACAGAAAAATTTCAGACATTCATTGATAATATACAGTGTCCGTAATGATAAACTTACTACTTGATGTTTAAGCTATGGATAACTTCCTGAAATGGACCTTTTTTTTATTATTGACTTTGTAATTACACTTCTTCCACATAAGGTAGTACCTAGCATTGTGGCTCTAGCCTTGAAAACTCTCCAAGGACAAATTATGTGCTTATTAGAAAATGTGTAGACTAAAAATACAGGGTTTTGTTGAAATCAACTATCAGCATCTATGAAAATTGCTGGATAAATATTATATAATTAGGATGTACCAGCACAGAAGGCCCCTGCATGCCTTTACCCAATTTTAAAAAATCAAAATATTCGAATAAATATAATATTTCTTCATTTAAGAGAGAAAAACTGTTAATGCTTCTTTTCCCTCAATCAATTCAGATTCCCCTGAGAAGGTGTAAACCTTCTTTAAGTTTTATCAAACAAAGAGAAATTATTTAAAATATGATGGATAGCGAAAAAGGGTCCACATCTCAAAATTATTAGTAAATTATAGTTGTTCCATTCTTATGCCATCTGCAGACTCCTGAATAAGTATTTTCCCAAGGTTTATACTACTGCTATTTTCACGGACTTCTTAAACAGGTTAAAAATACAGATGCTTAACACATCTCACTCTCTTACCTTCGTAATATTGAGAGCCCACACTCTAAGTCTATTCACATACCTTCAAACTTATAGATGTCCACGAAAAGTCTAAATTACAATTTTCCCCTTTTAAAAGGAACAATACTTCTGCCGGCCGCATGGCTCAGTTGGTTAAGAGCTCGCTCAAGAGTGTGAGCTCTGAGCAACAGGGTTGCTGGTTCGATTCCCAGCCCGAGCTGAGCTGCCACTGAGCTGCCAACAGGCAGCAGGATGGCTCAGCTAAAACAAACAAACAAACAAACAAACAAAAGGAACAATACTTCTGATTCAGTACTGTTATGTAAAAGAAATGTATCCTTTGAGCTTAACAACCTGTAGTTCTCCCATGTGTTTACATCAAGCTGGGAAAGTTTTAGTTGATTCAAAATCTGATGTTTTCTACAGAGCACTTGCTTTTCAGCCAGTCCATGATTTCCCATTACCAGATTCCATGTGGAAAATAATCAGAAGTTACTGAATTTAATATACCTACTTTTTGTACAAGTTTTTTGTTGGTGTTATCTAATTTATTTTCCTTCAAAATTTTTGTTTTGTGTTATGCAGTTTTCTTTTTTTTAATGTATTTATTTATTTTTATTTTAAGTTATTTTTGCTTTCTTCATTTAAATCCCCTTATGAATCTTTTCTTTAAAAACATCAGGCTTCACTAACTTCCCAATTCTGAGGTTATAACTATAGCTTAGAAACAGGAAAGAAATATGTAGAAATTTCAATTAGCATCTCTTAGTAATTAAATTGAGTCTGAAGTGAAGAATATAAACTGAAGAACTTGATTACTATCTTGCCATATACAAATTACTTTCTCACTCATCTTTTGGCAATACTTTTATAAAACCTATCTTCTAGATTAAGTCACATACTCACATTTTAAGTTTAAGGGATGAGGGATGAGTCTCTAAATTTCACATATTACAAAGTGGTTCATGCCAAGATACAGAACTAATAATGATACGGAATATACTTCTCTTCCACACTCATTAGCATAAAATAAGGTTAGAAAAATTAAGATTACACAGCTCATGGTTCCCAAATAACATTACATACCTAAAAGTGATTAATTCATTCTCCTACTTTCATCTATGAAATCCAAAGTGAGAAACTTGTATGTCTTTTCTCCAGTCACTGAAGCTATCATACAAGAGCTCATCACCCCCAACAAGCATGCTGATTATCACATTATGAAAGAAAAATATCTGATTTAAACATGACCTGGATCCCCACAAAATCTGACTTCATTTAGAATTTGATGTTATAAGTCACTTTTAAAATATATACTTCTTTAAAACTCTTCCTGTTCCTCGTTTCCCCCCTCAAGTTTGCAGTCTTTCAAATCCTTCTCTTACTATAAAATAACCACTTAAATTGACACTTTTCAATTTAAAATATTTTAAACAAGAAGCTTAAGTTAACTGAGTTAACCTCAGACAAATAATAAAGTTTACAGACTAATAAACGCCTATATTCATTTTCATGTTTTCAGTATGTCAGTGTTAAAGTCGTAGATCTTAATTATATGATTATTTAATTCATTCTTTCAAAAATACACACAAAGGCCTAGCCTTTTACAAATAAACAAAACTTTCTTAATCCACTGTCACTGTATTTGACACGGTAAATTTAGATAACCTCACATTTCATATTTGCAAATTAAATGTGGTGTACTGTTGTGTTAAGCAGAAACACAGGATTCAAAGATTCTCAACAACCAGATTACTTTATGTGAAAAAACCCAATGTACTACTCTTCAAGAGAAAAAAAAATTTCAAATAGGTTAGTTTTACCTGAGGATAAGAGGGCTAGATGTTTGGAGTGCGGGTGTATGTGTGTTCCTGTGCTTGTTTAATTCTAAAAACCTCTAACGCCTTTCAAAAATCAGTATTTTTTCAATAAATATGAGCATATACTGCACAATAAAATGCATAAAGATGTGCACTTCCAGAATGCTATAATAATCCAAAAAGAAAAAAATTAGTGCTTAATTTTCCTTGTCCGTAACCATTCCACAAATCAGAACTGCTGTATTTGTATATTTAATAAGATTAACAAACTGACTAGGATCTCCAAGGAGTAAAAGCAAAAAAAAAAAATCATTTTTCATTTTCCAATAAATATAAAACAAAAGCAAATACAAAGACTTGCTAAATGAGAAGCATTTGAAAAACCCAACATGACCAGCTTTTGATTTACCCTGTGTGACAAGGAAGACAGACCCCACCCCCACTCCAGATTGTGTAGCTTTTTTTTCCTTGGGTGGGGGTGTGGAGAAGAGAAGCTGTCACATTTCCATCTTCGGGTATTGTTAAGTCCGCAGCCTAGATTCCCAAGTATCACTGATCCAAGGGAAAAAATATTAAAGCAGGAAATTTAAATTGTCTGAAATGCACTGTATTTTGTTGATTTTCTCCAATTTTAAAGTTAATTATATCCAGCGTCAATCTGCTACAGATTGTCATTGACAGTCTGTCCCTCAGTCATTCCCTATATGACTGCTTGCTCCAGATTCACTAACAATTCTCTCCTCTCTAAACTTAAATTAGAAAAACGCATTCCCGAAATTATTACATCCAAAAAGGCATTCCTCCCCATCCTTTCTGCCTTTGATGTGGGGTATAGAATGAAGAGTAACAAAATAGACCGATTCACTCTTCAAACAAAAAGAAATGGGGGTAGAGGGCCACAGGGGTAAAGAGCAGCAGTAGACCTGAATGAAATGTTGAGAAAACTTTTTAAGTGACTAGTTTGTCCTTCGGCAGGGGAACGGGAGTTGGGTAGAAAGCTGGGGTCTCGGCCCAGGGCTCGTGCAGAGAGAAGGCACCTGCGGAAGAAGAGGCCGAAAACCAGAGGAGCCGGGCGAGCACCTACCCACTTGCAGCACGTTCTCCACAGAGCCGCTGTCCAGCAGACGGATGCCCCGGCGGAACGGCAGCCCCTCGCCAGCTGCTCCGGCCCCTGCGCCCAGCCCGGGGGACGCCCCCGCCGCGGCAGCCCCGGGGGCGGAGCCGGCCGGAGCGGCGGCCCCGGGGGGTGGCGGCGGCCCCTCCTCGGCCGGCGAAGCCCCCGCGGCGCTGCCAGCCGCGCCGGCGCTGGGGCCGCCCCGGTACTGGAAGCTGGAGTACATGCAGATCTCCCGCTCATTCCGCGGGAAGGACCAGTAAACGATGCGGCGCTGCACGGGCTCCGGGATCCGCTCGAAGCGGTCCTCCACCCGCTCGTACGCCCACTTTTCCGCCACTGTCTTGGCGGCGCAGTCCAGCAAGGACTCGGGCTGCAGGTGAGGGCGGGCCCCGGGAGGCAGGCAGCTGCCGCCGACGCCCCCCACCCCACCGCTGGCCGCCCCGGGCGAACCGCGAGGGTGGTGAGCCCGCGGGCTGGGCCACGAGCACAGGCGCTTGGCCGGAGAGACTGGCGGCGGCGAGAGCAGCTCCTCTCGCTCACCTCCTTCCGCCATTGCTGGGGACTGACTGACTGAGGCGGAGGCGGCGGCGGCCGCGGCGGCACCCGCTGCGGCGGCGAACCCGGCCACGGCCACGCGCCCCGCGCAAGCGCCCAGCTGTGGCGCCGGGGGGCGGGGCGAGGAAACTCGCCAGCCAGCCAGCCCGAGTGGGGTGGCTGGGCCGGTCTGGTGCGCGCGCCGCGAAGGCCGACGGGGGCGGCCTAAGGACTACGGTGAGGCGGCGCGCGCTGTCCGGACCTCCGGGAGCGCGAGAAGAGACGGGGGCGAGCGCGGGCCGGTGGCGCGCGCCAGGCGCAGACAGCCCAGGACGCGCGCTGAGCGCTCGCTCGCGGCCGATGGCCACCTAGGGGCGAGGAGCGCCGGGCACCCTTGCCAGCCCGCACACCTCCAACCCACCTGCCGCCCGGCCAGAGAGGGGTGGAATGTGTGGCCAAGTGAAACAGCCGGGCCGCGAGCCATCCTTGGATCCACCTCCGTGAAGTTCTAGGCTTGTGGGGCACAAGGAGAGAGAAAACTCAAAATCAGGCTCCTGTGGGTTCATTGACGGGACAGGAGACCGGCACAGCAAGCAGAGGATCTGCCAGAAAGATGCTAAGAAGACACTAGGAAAAATATCGGAATGCTCAAGTGATGAAAACTGTTCTCACGCCACAACGATGTAGAATGCAGTCGGCGGTCCCCTCCAGAGCCCAGCAAAGTCGCACCAACCCCTGACTGGACAAGTGGGAGGCCAAGATCTCACCTCCAAGGTGGCTGCGCCCTCCTAGAGTTCTGGAGGGTTTAGCAGCTTGCATCCTAGGAAACAAAACACTTTGTGTGGTTTGGGGTAGAATTCACTGATCCCCTGCCCCTAGTCTAAATTAGATCTTTCGTGTTTTTCTCACTTGGCTCAGTCTTCTACACCTTCGTGTTATTTATAACAAGTTGTATTTGTGCCCAGCTGACTGTAAACTCCATGAGAGCGAGGATCATGTATGTCTATTTTCTTCACTATAATTTACCCTCTGCCCTGCAGAGATTTTTCTTGGAATTACATTGAATTTATAGATTAATTTGGGGACTAGTATCTTTATAATTGAGTCTTCATAAATATAGTATATCTCTTCATATGTATGGGTCTTCTTTACCAATCATTTTAAAAGATCTAAATATTTTGTTATCATTTATTTTGTGATCCTAGTGATTGCTAGATCTTTTCCAAAATACCATTAAACAAGAAACAATCTCACCCCTGGTAGCTTACCATCTAGTTAGTGAGATAAGATGATACATATGAAAAGCTAAATAACAGTAAAATAATAGAATAATACAAAAAAGTAATAGCTTCAGAGGATTGTCAGGTGACTTGAAGAAGCAGTAACTATTTTGGGAATCAGGAGAAAAATCACGGTGAGTAGAAATTGTGAGAGGAAGCTCTACTGAATAGTCTTATTTCATCTAGATCATGGAGAATGAGTCGGATTCAAATAGGCCAAAGGCTTAGGGAGGGAATTTTAATCGTGTTGAACAACTTCAGCAAAACCCCAAAAGCTGGAAAGTACAAAACATTTTCATGTAACTGATAAAAATATATCTGTTTGGTTATAAAAATGGTAAATAGAGATTAGAAAGGTATTTTAAAGACAAATTATAGATAGCCTTAAATACCAGGTTAAGGAATTTGAAGTTGAATATGGGCAATGGGGAACTGAAACAGTGAAGGTTGTTATACATCTATATAACACTGAATGCAACCTATTTTTTTCACATCTTTGCCCAAATTAGTCTGTGGTTTGCACTTATCACATAATAAATCCTCAGTACATATTTCATGAATGAATGAATGAATGATCTGGCTGTGATGTGAAGAATCTATCTGAAGGAGAGAAATGGAAGACATGGAAACCTCTTAGGTAGCTATTCCAATAATCTGGTCATGAATTTTTAGTGGCCTCGATTCAGAAAGAAAAGAAAAATTCCCCTGAATAAAGTGCTTCTGCCCTATTGTTCCTAAAAATTGATACAATGAATATTTATTAACACCTATCCTGTATCCTGTAGCTTAGAGTACCAGGTTGATATTTTTTTCTTCTTTTTTTGATAGACCATGAGGATACATTTTGTGTTTTCTGGTATATTTGCCACTTAAAAAAAAATACAAATAAAGTATTTGTGAGGCATTATTAAGTTAAATATAGTGAAGGATACTAGGTTGTTTAAGACAGTCTGGGTATTAAGAATAGAAAAAAAAATCCACATATGGGCCTGAGCTGGGACTGGAAACTGATAAAGGAAGTTGTAGGAAGATAAGGAAGCCAAGGTGTCAAATAATAATGATACTTAAAACTGACACAGTACTTTACAGTTTTCAGCTAGGAAGTAAAACATTGCTAAAGAAAATTCACTGAGGGTGTGGCTGAGTGGCTCAGTTGGTAAAGAGCACAAGCTCTGAGAAACAGGGTCGCCAGTTTGATTCCCACATGGGCCAGTGATGCTGCGCCCAAGCTGAGCTGCTATTCAGCTGCCAACAGGTGGCAGGATAGCTCAGCTGGTGAGAACACAAGCTCCTAACAGCAAGGTTTCCAGTTCAACTCCCGCATGGGATGGTGGGCTACGTCCACCTGCAACTAAGATCGAACAGAGCACCTTGAGCTGAGGTGCCGTGAGCTGCTGACAGGCAGCCGGATGGCGACTGGACTTGGAGCTGAGCTAGCTGTGCCCTCCACAACTAATATTGAAGGACAACAACTTGGCTGTTCCCCTTCTCCAATTCCCCAATAAAAAGTCTTAAAAGAAAAGAAAAAATTCACTGAATTGTGCTGACCGATAATATCAATTTCATTTGGGCCCTACATGTTGCTTAGTAACTCTTATTATTCATCCCGAATTGACCAACACCATTATCCCTATTTTACCTATGAAGAAAGGCTCAGAAAAGTTGTGTTTTAATCAAGGTCACTAACAAGTGAGTGACAGAACCAGAACTCACATCCTTTAGGATCTTATTGCCACAGTTATCCCCTATTTTTCAGGTGTTCTCGATTTATCTTTCTCCACTGGGTCTTTTTACTCGGCCTTCCAACATAGAGACAATCTCTCATTCTGAGGGGAAAGGAGACTCCATTTGACTCCTCAATTATCCCTAACTCCTGCTATATTTTACACTCTTTTCACTATCACACTTTTTGAATAAATGCGATATACCCTGAAAGATCTTTACCTCCTCACCTTTATCTCCTTAATGCCCTGGAGTCCAGGCATTAAGGCAAACTGGCAGCATCAAGTACCTCTGAATCTAGGGATAAAGGAGAGTGGCTAAAATGAAAAGGACTGGGTAAAAGCTGTTTGAGAAGTGATTCCTCCCCTAGATCTCTTCCCAGATTCCATGTGGCTGAATAACTACCCCTCCCTTGCTACAGCAGAAGTCTGGAGGCTGATTTTTCAGAGAGGATATGAGGACCTGTGGATTGGAGGATGCCAGGCACAGTTAAGGGCTTGGGTACCTGCAAAAACAGGGAGTTTGAATGACCATATGTATACTAAATGCTGAGAATCCCCTAGCTCATCTCCCACACTGCTGCCAGAACGTTGGCAGTCGCTGGACCCCTACTCCTCAGGCAGAAAATGCAAGACTCTTCTCTGGGGAATCTGAAGGTCCCACGAGAAAGACCTAAAGACACTAACATCAGGGGTTTCCCCAACAAGTCATCTGAGAATAAGAAGAATAGTCCCAGAGCTATTTAAAATGATTAGGGAAAGAATGTCGAAGCAGATTTAAGAGCTATTTAGGAAATAAACTAGGCAGGATTACTTGGAACAATAAAGAAAATGTGATGGAGAATTAAGTAGAAAATGGTTCCCAGGTTTTTAATTTGAATTGTATAGTAAAAGTTAAAGTCATTAACCAAAATAGAAAACTCGGGATTAGGAAATTTATAGGAAAGGATGACAAGTTCACTTTGGAACATTGGGCTTGAGGTACATTTGAGATATCCAGGTGTAAATGGACTGAAACTCAGAAGAATACCTTAGGACATGGTAGAATATGGTTAGGGTTAGGGTAACAGTTGGGGTCTTATGAAAGAAATGGGATCACCCAGAGCAAGTATATAGAGTGGGGGATGGGCAGACAGGGATGAACAAGAAGCAAACTAAGTGATCACCAACCATTAAGTGGTAGACAAACAGGGAGAAGCAAGCAAAAGAAAATGTAGTCATACAAGAAGCAGAGAATAGGATCATATAAGCCAAATAAAGAATGAAGGTTAAGAAGGAAAGGCAAAACAAATAAACAAAAAACATTGAAGAGGTGAGACAGGATAAGGACAGGAAAAAAAATTGGATTTTATCATTAAGAGATTCAGTTTCAATATTGTGGTGGGTCATATACCAGATTTTAGGGGTTTTTTTGTTTTTTTTTGTTTTTAAAGATTTTTTTTTTTAATTGGGGAATTGGGGGGATGGGAACAGTGCTGGGGAATTGCGGGAGGGGAACAGACAAGTTGCTGTCGTTTTGTTCTTCAGTCTAGTTGTGGAGGATGTTGCTTCACTGGCCCAAGTTGGCACCATCATTGCGCTCTTCTCTGGCGAGGCAGATCAGTCGCCGGCTTCTGGACGGCCGCTCCCTGCGGCTTGAGGGCCGCTCCCGCTGGCTGCTGGCCACACACGGTAGCCCATGGCAATCCACTGCCACAGAGACTGCAGCCCACGCCATCGCCGGCGACTCACGGCAGCCCAGCTCCAGGTTGAGCTGTTGTTCAGCATCTTAGCTGTAGAGGGCAGTGTCACTGGCCCTCATATGTGGGATCCGAACCGGGGCCCTCTGGCATCCCAAGCGAGTTCTTAACCATCGCGCCACTCGGCCGGCCCCAGATTTTAGTTTCTTAAGGATTGAGTGGGAGGGGAAGAAATGAGGACATGTAAACATAAATAACAGTAATACAAGGCACTATGTGTATAGTATTAGAAGATAAACATATATTCTTTAACTCTGTTATTCCTCTGCTGCTCACAGTCTTTTGTCTGCATGGTAGCTGACTTGCTTCAGACTGCTGGCTTCCTCCAAGCTACCCAGACAACACCACCCATGTCTCAACCTCCAGTAGTTGCTCCCCACCCCTTGCCCATTCAATAGGAGAGTACCTTCTGCTTCCTAGGACCAACAGCTCGGCAGAGCTGATAGGTCCTGAGTGTGTAGGATTTTCTTCCATTCAGTACCTCTCCTTTCCAAAACACACAGATACTCTAAAAGGGGTTGGAGAGGACTGAATTAAACTATGGTCAGCACAGACTTTCCCCACACCTGCAACTACTACTGCCACCACGCTCCAGGGCTTGTCATTTAGTCTAGCCCCCTGTGTCAGACTTCTTCATTCAGGATGTTTTTCTCTTAGAAGTTCTATGAACTCTCCTTCGAATCCTGCCCTGCAGACAGATACGTGTATGCCAGAACTCAAACATGAACCAAGTTCAGATTCTTTCCCAGAAGATTTCTGGGCTTAAAGCAAACCACAGAATTTTGCTGAAAACATTTTTCAATGTCCTCAAATGTCCCATGGCAGATAAGTGGCTGGAGATAGGTGGGAAATATGGAGAAATATAACTAACATAAATTGAGCACTTATTAGGCATCAGGCACTGTGCTAAATCTTTTATATGTGTTTTACAGTGAGGAAACTGATTTAGAAGTTAAATAACTTGCCCCAAGTTACATTTTTGGTAAATGGCTGAGATGTTATTTGAACCTATACAGTGTTAATCCTAGGTTAAGGACAAAGAATTAAGCACTGAATAAAAAAACAACACAAGTACATTGTCCCTGCCCCTAATTATCTTTTTGGAATTGGAAGTTCAACTTAATAAAAGGACTAAAAAGTAAATAAAGGAAATGTCAAGGAAACATAAGAGCCAAATACATAAAACAAGGTATCAAAAACAGAAATAAACATCAGTTATGATGATGGAGTCAAGCAATTTGAAATCTTACATTAAAGGATGAAGACTGAGGAATTCCATTTCAAGCTGCAATTTGGGCACAAGAATTCAACTTCTTCTCTATCAGTCAAAGTCCGGTATGAAAACGGAAATCACACCAG